GAGTTATTTTTTGCGGAACGGTGCGGAACGGATTCCGTTTCTTTTCATTAAATAAAACGACGTCGTTTTGATGCACGGTGCATAATCGATTATGCACCGCGGTGCACGATATAATTTGCCCATGCACACAAAACATGAGTTACGATCCTGCTAGGTTGGTAGTTGTAGAACGAGATAGGTTACAATAACTTACATAATGTGTGCAATCATGATCGAATATTTGTGTTAAGAGGTTAAAGCATGTAGAAGTTTAATAAAAAACAAAAATATATTATGTATATTTTGATGATTTGGTTGGCTAGTGTGGTTCGTAGGTGTAGACCGCAATGTTGCCGGGCTACATGAATGCGTAATGGACATTTTCGCAAATGGAACAAAGGTTTGGAGACCATTCGACCAACAAAGTAATTGTCCAGTCAAAATAGCACCGTCAGAAAACTAGAATCCCATACCGTTTTTAATACGAATATATTGAGTTTAAGATAGTTAGAGTGCATACTGAATATACTGCAAAACTTGTTTGTTTACTAATGAATTAATTAGATGTGATATATTGTTGCCAAACACCTTGTGCTTGGATGGCATGTAGTGACATCTCTCATGTGCAAGGTCATGAGATCGATCCTCAGTGGAGGCATTGTTGACTCTTTAACCCCCTCTCAGTGCACCCCTGCACCCACACTCATCTCACATATACGTCGACCACCCAAAATTGAACAATTTCAATTTTTTTTTTCTAAAAAAAAAAAAAAAAAAACTAAATTGCCTAAATCCGCCCCCAATTCTGCCATCCGAACCCGGAAAACACCATCCCCACCACCCCTCCCCCCCCCCCCACACGCACATAAAAAACTCAAGTGATATGAGAACACCCATGCATACCAACACCCCCCACCCCTAATCAATCCGCCTCCAATTTTGCCATCAACCCGGAATAGGCGAAAATAAGCAAAGCCGAGGTAAGCGCGCGAGCAAGGACCGAACACACCGGGATTACGCACGAGAAGAGGGACGAAATGGGAATTACTTCCCATTCACGCTCCTCCTCACGGCGTGAGGACACCGTGAACGGTGATTAAGAGAGGCGAACAAAGAGCTCAACATGAAGGGATTATATCCGGTTCACGCCGGCCTCACGGCGTGAGACCGTGCGTGAATAGGAGTGCGAATCAGATTGGGTATTTAAAGGCAAAAATTCAGCATTGTGAGGGAGACCAATTTTACTTTTACTATTTTTAAAGAGAAGTTTTAGAGAGAAGCTTTAGGTTAGGTTAGTTTCCTTCCTTCCTTTCTAGGGTTTTAGCCAAGATCAAATTAATATGTAAAGGAGATTTGAAGGTTTGATGAGCTTGTAGCTTGGATCTTCATTCCCTACCATCTATTGAAGAGATCTAGCTTGGATTTGGATACAAACTATTCTTGTTCTTCTTTGATAATATCTTGTTTTTCCTCTTTGCCATTGCTTGATCTTGATTTTTATAACGATTGGCTAGAATTCTAGTAGTGGATTGGATCTCATTTATTTATGCTAAATATGCTTTGATCTATTTGTTTGGCTTTGTGTTGATGTCTTGTTGTGAAGAGACCTTGTATGGACTCTTGTGTATGGTGTACAACATATGTTTGAGGTTTGAGTAGGATTAGGTCAACAAGAGATTGTGGCCTAGACCTAAACTTGTCATTTGCATTTCCCACCCTCATATCCGAGAGGATAAGGCCCGGAATGAGATGTAGACAAAGTGTTAGTCAAAATGCTCATAAGGAACGTGGTCACGGAATGGTGGTTCCACACCTATGAAAGACCTAGTAACCGAGTGGTGAACGGCATTGGAAGTCATCTCGCTTGACTAGATCAACACTAGCCCAGATTCACCTCACACGCACAAAGAAATGGGAATCCAAATCCACTATGATTTCTATTTTATAGTTTCTTTTATTTCTTTTCTTATTTCCTTTGTTATGCCTTTCCCTTACACTCTCTTTAACACATGCTCTAACTTACGCTCCTTGCACCTAGTTTATCTCTCGTTAATGCACTGTGATACGTGATTGTCTTGCACTCTTTTTACTCTGACTTGCCATCCTTGAGTACGACACTCGGGGTGGTTCTCACTCACCCCATTTTAACTCTTTTCATCTCTTTCCATACACAACCATGCAAATCGAATCTTTTGACGACGCTATCTAAAATGAGAACCGTAAACGAAAAGCGTCCGGTCAGTGGTCCCCGGCGCTTACCTGCACTGCGATCCCCATCGACGACCATCGTCCGTTGCAGATGAAGAAAGGGAATCGAACGTCGTAGAATGGTTGTTCGGCCATCACTAAACAGAGAGAGATTGCGACACACAATAAACCTAGGTGCGTGAATGTAGAAAGGGAATCTGAAACGATTACAAAAAGAACAAATCCCAAAATTACCCCCCCCCCCTTCCCTTAAAAATAAAAACCAATTGTCAGATTAACTCCCCATAAATAATTAAATCAATCATATCCATCAAATCTCAACATCCAACGATCTTGATCAATATGCACATTTATATATATATATATATATATATATATATATATATATATATATATATATATATATATATATATATATATATATATATATATATATATATATATATATATATATATATATATATATATATATATATATATATATACTAGCATATTTTCTTTGAAAAGCATATGTGATAATATGATCCCCATTTTGGAAAAGAAAGGTTTTCAAAAGTTACCGCTATTTTGTATATGTGAGGAAAATCTATATTTTTGGAGGACCCGATTGGACTACGGTCTCTTCGGGAGGAATGATGAAAAGAAATGATGAGAAAGTCCGGTCGAAAAATCCTAGACAGATAGGATATTGAAGTAGCTTGGTAGAAAAATCCTAGGCTAGTAAGCTGGATATTACTCGCTAGTCTTAGAATCCCAGTTAGGGGGTTTACACACAGAAGGTACTAGACCTGCTTCCAAATATGAGATTAGTGGGAGAGCGGAGATTAGGCCAGCAGAGAGTTGCTGAGCTCGGATAGGTTCTTTCACACGTGGGGAAGTTCCTAAATCCCCACTATTGTGAAATTAAAAGCTAGACAGAGATTAATCTAGCTCAAATACCAAGGATCATAATTAATACTAACCTCCAATCATAGTTTTCGGTTGATGATGATTGAGATGTCGTGGGCTGCTGCGATAAAACCAGCATGAGTATCTTCTATGTTTTTCTCTCACTTTTACTCAACTCTCTCTAGATTGTGTATGAGGTATGAATGTAAACAGTGAGAGGACTGGGAGCCTTAAATAACCACATGCCATCAATGTGGTAGTTGTATGTCATTAGGCTTCCTAAACCCTAAGTAGATTCCTAGGCATAGTTAAAGTCTAGCTAGAACTCTAGAAGTGTTGCACCAAATAACAAGCACTTTATTATTATAATTTGTAACCCTAATGTTATAATAATAATAATAATAATAATAATAATAATAATAATAATAATAATAAAATAGTTAATGGGAAAACATTATACTCGTCGTTCTCAACGAGCACTGTTTCAAAAAAGTTGAACATTCAAACGATTCTCTCACTACAAAAGACACGTTTTTTTTTTTTCTATTAATATTTGCAAGTTGCAATGTATTTGTTTTTGGTGCCATTTTGTAATCATTGAGAGTTTTGATTATGCTTTTTTTGGTCTTAATTTTGGCTATTTGGTCTTATGAAGGTTTAGTTTATTTGATATGTGATAGATATATTAGAAACGGGCTTGGGGAAAACTGACTCGGAGAGGAGATGGCGCGACATGAGAGGCCAAGGGCGACCCTGGCTAAGGTCGAGGTCGACCCCCGGCCATGGGGTCAGCTTCGGCCCAGCCAAGGTCGACCTCGACTGGGTTCGACCCCGGTTGGGGTCAACTCAGCTAGGGTGGCCACGACCCGGGGCCTTGTAGCGGAAGGCAGCTTCGGTGGAGGTGTCCTAGGCCTCGGATATGCAAGTGGACCCGGTCAAAGGTGATCCAACCACCTACCCTATTCTCATGGGGCGGTTGGATGGGAGCTCGGTATAAAAATAGGCATTCTTGTCTTGTTTAGGACATATAACATCTTGTCCAATTATTACATTACCCTTGTAATTCTCCTACAACAATTATCAATACAAAAGTTGTCTCCGCGACATATATCTATTGTATTTATTACCACATTATCCTAATCTTATTATTATAGGGTTTAGTAATTCGGGCTACCTTGGGTTAATTAAATCCATCATTGGTGCTATTGTTGAGAGTTGATGTACAAGCTTAAGCATGCTCTCTCTATTATTCATCCCTAGCTATGACAAGAGCAGGATTAAACACACGCAATTCCCGTGAATCGCATAACACCCGTAATCCTTCCCATGCTAACCCTAACGGAGTAACGATGAGTCGGCAGACCTTGCCTGTAGGGTCAGCTGAGGACCTCAGGGACCGGATCAATGGGAGCCGACAAGGGCCAGAGGACCTCATGGATCATATCAACAACAACCACCAGGGCGGGCCTGCTCCGCCGATCCTGCGTCAGATCCCAAGCTTCTAAGAAGGAGCGACCACGCTCCAACACTTAGAAATGGTATTGAACCGCCTCGCGGAAGGACTCGGAGGGGGTACCTCGACACCACCTCCACCACCACCCACTCTTGAGGGGCGCGGTGGTCCAAGAACTCACGTGCCCCGAGCGCTAGAGGCTCAGATAGATGGAGAGGTTAACTCACCTCGACCGTCGGATAGACGGGAGGAGGGCGACACCAGTAGAGGTCGGCGGGAACACCAGGAGAATAGAAGAGCTCGGCTAACGCGTACCGCGTCCGCCATGGGATGGTTGGGCCCTCGAGTACCAGCCAAGGACTACCTTGGGCCGAGGCCGACCACAAACGGTCTGCCCGCAGAGTCGTCGCTCTCCCAAAGGTCCCGGAGTCACGGGCCCCATGTCCCAAGATGCCGAGAGCAAACTTCACGGATGGAGTGCTCGGGGGAGACCGGTGTCCAACCACCAAGCTCCAATTGCGACGAGGTGGAGCAATTGCGAAAATGGATGGATGAGTTGCAACGCAAGATCGAGGCACAAGATGAATCACCAGAGCCCCAGGATGACCCCGGCGGCAACAACAACCGTCATGGCAGGTCAGCTCCACTCGCCCCACCTCAAGTCTCGGGTCTCCAAGAAGGGGTAGCCACGATCTAGCAAGTCGCATTACTATTGACCTGCCTCGTGGAGGGTCTCCAAGGAGGTGTCCAACCTCCTCCACTCGGCTTCGAGGCGTCTTAGGGGCCCCCGCTCCTCCTAAGGTGTGGTATGACCCCACGTTGCCAACCTCAATTCCATGAAGGGGGAGGGACCCAAGCTAGCCCCACTTTGGCTCATGGCCGACCTCAACTTGATCAAACCCCTCATTTTGTCGAGCCCACGTTAAGGGACTCGGCTTGTCTCGGGTGTACATACTCATGATTTCCGAGTTCACACCAGAGAGCTCATCCTTTTTCCCATCCTCCGAGAAACCAAGCTCAAGGCTCGTCGAGTTCAGCTCGAGAGACTTAGATGGGCATGACTCGGCCACCATGACTATGAAGACCCCGAGCTCGGCCACCAAGAGACAAAGGAGCCTGAGCTCGGCTACCAATTGCACAAAGAGCCCGAGCTCGACCACTACGAACACAAGGAGCCCGAGCTCAGCCACCGAGAGACCAAGGATCCCGAGCTCGGCCACCGAGAGCACAAGCTCGGCCACCATGAGAATGAGGAGCCTGAGCTCGGCCGCCACGACTACGAAGAGTCCGAGCTCGGCCACCAAGAGACCAAGGAGCCCGAGTTTATCCACCAAGAAACCAAGGAGCCCGAGCTCAGCCAACGAGAGCACGGACTCGGCCACCATGAGAATGAGGAGCCCGAGCTTGGACGCCATGACTACGAAAAGCCTGAGCTCAGCCACCAAGAGACCAAGGAGCCCATGCTCGACCACCAAGAGACCAAGGATCCCAAGCTCGGCCACCGAGAACACGAGCTCGGCCACCATGAGAATGAGGAGCCCGAGCTCGGCCGCCACGACTACGAAGATCTCGAGCTTGGCCACCAAGAGACTAAGGAGCCCAAGCTCGGCCATCGAGAACACGAGCTCGGCCACCATGAGAATGAGGAGCCTGATCTCGGCCACCACAACTACGAAGAGCCTGAGCTTGGCCACCAAGAGACTAAGGAGCTCGAGTTCAACCACCGAGAGACCAAAGAGCCCAAGCTTGGCCACCAAGAAACTAAGGAGCCTGAGTTCAGTCATCAAGAAACCAAGGAGCCTGAGCTCAACCCACCAAGAGATCAAGGAGCCCGAGCTCGGCCACCAAGAGCACAAAAAGCCACGTTCGGCTGCTATGAGTAAAGAGAGTTAGAGCTCGGTCACTATGGGGTGGAGGAGTCCGAGCTCAGTCTCCATGAGCATGAGGAGCCCAAGCACGGCCACCAAGAACACACGGAGCTCGAGCCCGACCACCATGGACATGAAGAATCGGAGTAGTAGCAAGGTCCAGGCTCGTCGTAAAAAAGGATTATTTCATAGCCGGGGTCGAAGCACACCGACCTCGAGTTAGCCTATACTTATAAGCACCGCGAAGCTAAACCTCAATTAGTGCTGAATGAAGAATTTTGAAGGTCCATATGCGGTAGCAACCGTGGTCCGCCCCGGCAACTACAAGCTCAAATCTCCAAAGAAGAAATACGTATGACGAGTTTGGAACTCTGAGCGCTTGCTCAGATTTTTTTTCAGCGATTCATCCTGTAAGGTGGTCTAACCCCTTAAGGTTTATTCTCGTAATAAAAGTAGCAAAATTCGTCGAGCACTCATTTTACTACTATTTGAGGAGGGGAGAGGGGAGCGGTAAGACTCGAGCGAAGTCTGCCGCTTGACCTTGCAAGGGTCTCCGACCTTTCAAGGGTCCATCCAACTTTGCAACGGCCCATCTGACCTTGCAAGGGCCCATCTGACCTTACAAGGGTCCATCCGACCTTGCAAGGGTCAATCCGACCTTGCAATGGTCCATTAGACCTTGCAAGGGTCCATTTGACCTTGCAAGGGTCCTGACAAGCGTCCATCATACCTCTAAGGGTCCATCAGACCTCCAGGGGTCTATCCGACCTTGCAAGGGTCCATCAAACCTTGCAATGGTCCATGGCAAGCGTCGATCATACCTCCAAGGGTCCATCCGACCTTGGAGGGGTCCATAGACCTTGCAAGGGTCCACCCTCCAATGGTCCATCAGACCTCCAAGGGTCCATTCGACCTTGCAGGGGTCCATCCAACCTGGCAACGAATGTTCCACCAAATGGTCCATCCAACCTTGGGTCCAAAGTCGAGAGACTTCGACCCACAACCCTAGGGGCGATATGAGGTCTGACATTGCCTATCGCCGAACGAAAAAGCTTTTGGGTTAAAAGTCGAAGGACTTCTGTGACACCCCGTATTTTCCAAAATATTTATTTTAAATATAAATATTTTCCAAATAAAATTATCTATCTATGATTTAAATATCTTACTAATATATATATATATATATATATATATATATATATATATATATATATATATATATATATATATATACCTAATTATTTTAAAAAGGGGCTCGGATCTATTTATTATTATGAACCAGCATTTTACTATCCTAATGCCTTAAACCCAAAAATGATTTTAGCCTAGAAGTTTATTTATTACCCTAAGCCCAAAATATAATTATTTATTATATAATATATAAGTTTTGAACCCAACTAGTCAAGCTCATATATATATATATATATATATATATATATATATATATATATATATATATATATATATATAAATATATATGTGTTATTATATTGTGAGTCCAAATGTCAAGCCCAATATATATAATCCATCTAATCCATCTTCCTACATATACATATGTATAGCTTAAGCCCAACCCAACCTACAAATAGAAGTCTACCGGCAAATTATTGGGTGGACCATGGTCCACACAAGTTGTGTGGACCAAGCAACAAAACGACCTCGTTTAATCTTTAAAAAGAAAAACAATCGCTGATTTGATTTTAACGGCGTTAGTCGTCTGTTATTAATTCTCTCCTTCGTTGTTGTGTGGTCAATCACTCGCTCATTCTCTCCTTTGCTTCTTTGATTTCCCTTTCTCATCTTCTCTCTGCGAATCGTTTCCAAATTGCGCTGCTTGGCAAATTGATTTCCGATCGCTGATTTGTCATCGTGAATTGCTTGGCAAATTGCGATTTCTTTGTCTTCAATTTCTCTTCGCAAATTCTTCGCTTCTCTCTCAATTTAATGGATGCAATCGAATTGGAGAATGCTAATACAGGTGTTTACATGCGATTTAGGTTTTGTTTTTAATTTGAATTTAGATTGATATTGTTTATTTTCTATATTGGGGTGATACGAATACTTTGGTTTATATTTAATTGATTTATGCAATTGATGTTGATCTAGGTTTGTCTTTTGCGTATTTTTTCTAATTTGCATCGCATTGCAGACTTGCAGTAGATGTATTGTGTTTAGGGTTTGGTTAATTGATTGGACAAGGTACATTATCTTTGTTCATAATGTACATTAATTTTGCATATTATGTACGTTATTTAAGTGCATAATATATAGTATTATTGATCATGTATGCAATGTAAATTATTCAGTTAATGACACTTCTACTTCTGGGGTGCAGCTGATTAGAGTTCACAAATTGGGGTTCATGTCCGTTCTTCCAATTTTTCAAAGTTATGGATGAGAGTTCTTCTATTCAAAGTTTTTTTTTTTTTTAATAATTTTTAAGTTGATCATTAGTTGTGTTTTTAATGATAATGATGGAATGATTCTTATTTTATTATTACTTTGGTGTTACAATAAATTATTTGCATGTTTTACTGTGAATATTGTGTTTCTGATTAAGGTACATTATTTATATGCATTAGGTACAGTATTTTAATTCATAGGGTATATTATTTTAATATATAAGGTACATTATTTTTTCTTGTTAACTTTTGAATGCTTTTATGTGAATTTTGAGTTCTTTGTCTGTAAAAATAAAAAAAAAAATATTATATCTTGAAATTGAGCTTCAAACAGTAATATTCTTTGGAAATGTCAAACCCAAGAAATCTTTTGTACTGCAGATATTTTATTTTTCCTACTTAAAATACAAATCCTGCTATTGTCATCCTTATGGGGATTGAAATGTTTTCGTTCCACCTCTGAATTGTAATGATTCATTGTCAATGATTGAAACCTTTGATCACACATTGCTTTTCTTGGCCTTGGTTTCATAAGCATTGGAAATGAGAATGATTTCATTAATTTTTTTTATAGGTTCCACTCTTATTACGCTATTAACCAAGTGCTATACTGATATTTGTCTTAAAAAAATTAAAAAAATTTTAATTTGCATGATTTGTATTTTATCTTGAGGTGTGATGTAACAAGTGAATTTCTGAGTAATGGTCTTCCATAAACACTCAATAAACACAATATGCAAATTCATTTTAAATTATTTTTTCCTTCCTGACCTGCAAATTTAACATAATATGCATTTGAGCTTTTTGTATGTAACTCACTCTTTCTGCTAAGCTATGATCTGATATAGTATATCATCTGTTCTCACATTGTCTACATATTCTTAACATTAACTGTGTTGGAACAATACCTGACCAATATATATGTCGAAGGTGGACAAAAAGAGTTGTTGAAGATAGTATCATGGATATTTCATCCGGTTCAAATATGTGTACGGTTGCATCTTCAGTTTGGGTTATACAAATGCGTAGGAAGTTCCAAAGATTAGTTATTTCAAGTCAAGATAACTGCAAAGCTCGTCAAGTTTGTGAGGCAGGTTTTGATGATTTTAGAAGAAATATTGAAGCTGAGGTTGGTTCTATTAGTTTAGAAGACTTCGAAACACAAAGGTTTCAGTCCAATCTTCAGTTCAACATGTTGTTTATGAGATTGTTGGAGTGGATATCTTGTTCATTCAAGTGGTAGTAGTAGTTCAAAGTTAGTTTGTGTTAGGTCTGGATCTCAAAATATTTCAAATGATAATTGACTGTAGTTGTAATAGAATTTTGCAGGATATAGACTTGATTTAGAATTTCATGTTTGATGTTTTGGAGTGATGCACTTTATTCTAAAATATTATGATCTCTATGTTTGAAATTGGTTGTTAAGTTGATTATTGAGTTTGAATACAACCAGTTTGTGCAATTTAGTAGTCCACTGGAAGGCCTATGCCATCATTCAGTTCTTTGCCATAATTTACTGAAAATGTACATTATTTTTGTCCTTAGTGTACATTATTTTTTCTCCTAGTGTACATTATTTTACAATGTTGGTTTTTAAGTGCATCAGAATTAAAATTTCATTCAATATGCAAATGTACATTATTTTTGTCCTTAGTGTACATTATTTTGCCCCTAGTGTACATTATTTTATACTGTTGGTGTTTTTTTTGAAAGCCAAGGAAATCAGATTGCATTAAACTGTAGACGAGACAAAGGGGGGAGGATAATCCCTCCAGACCGTACGAGCATCAGTCGCACTAACATGTTTTGCTAAGGCATGAGCTACCGAATTGGCATCTCTGCGTACAAAATGAATTGAGCAATATTGAAAAGAACGAAACAACTGTAAACATGAGTCTAAAATAACACCTAGATACGAACAGTAGATAGACGTATCACGGAAGCAAGAAACCAGGACCGCACAATCCGTGAACACCGCAACATTTTGGAAATCGTGATCTTGTAGCCATGATAGGGATTCTCGTATCGCCATTGCTTCAGCTAGTAGGGGATCATACAGACATATGAGTGGTCCATTAGCAGCCGCGACGAAGTCACCTTGTGCGCTGCATACATAATAGCCATAAGTTGGTGTCGAGCCGTCAAACCCCGCATCAGTGTAGCAGCCCACACATCCGGACGGCAGTGGCGCCAAACCTGAAGCTGCTGGCAGTAAGGCAGTAGGAGACGCAGCTGCTGGGTCTTGGGGAGCAGTTTGGATTGGGGAGGCATGCGGCAGAAAGGGCGCAGGCGGTGTGGGTGGTTTGTCCGACACATTGGCTGTAGTCCAGGCATTCCAAGCATTGTGAAAGGCAAGACATAAATGCGAGGGGGTTGGTAGAAAAGAATCCCAAACAGTCATATTCCGGGCTCTCCAAATTTTGTAGAGTATTCCGCAAATTTGCTCTTTTAGAAACCCAGCAGATGTTGCTGAACTTCCTAACCAAGCCTCCACCCACTGCACAAAATCATAGCCATCAACATTAGGGATTAGAAGGCTTGAAACATTCCACACGTCTAGCGTAAATACAAGTGCATAAAATATGCATAATATCCTCCTCATAATCTCCACAA